AAGTCTTCTACTAACGTGGGCATTTATGCCTATTGTCTTTGGAGGGGTTATCTTATCAGAAGGAAAATTATGCCATTCAGTTGTTGAGATGATTCTTTTTTTAATACCAGAAATAATTAAACTTATTTCTTTGTTGCAGGACTTTGCATTGCTACATTGGCTGTTGGATTGATAGCCCGAATTACAGCTACTTTTGTATTGGTCTTTTTTGCTGGTTTTGAGCTGAAAGAGAGAATATTTATTGCATTGGCTTGGATCCCCAAAGCTACTGTGCAGGTACATTGCATTTTTATGGCAGAATTCTGTCTTCTGGAAATAAAACTAATTGAACACATCAATCCTTCCAAGAAGTTGAATGGAATGGAATGGAATTGGATTGAGCTAAGTTGAATACTTTATTTGGCCAAGTGTGATTAGCCACATAAGGAAGCTGTTCCCAGTATAGAAGCACTCAGTGTACATGCAAAGCAACAGAATACAGGTAGTCCTTGACTTACGAACTGAGACCAAAATTTATGCAGCTCAGTGAAACATTTGTCAAGGGAGTGTTGCCCTATTTTACAACTTTTCTTACCACATTTGTTAAGTGAATCGCTGCAGTTGTTCTTAATACGGCTGTTAAGTGAATAAGGCTTCTCCATTGACTTTGCTTGTCAGAAGGTTGCAAAAGGTGATCACATGACCCTGGGACACTGCAACTGTCATAAATATGAGTCAGTTGCCAAGCATCCAAATGTAAATCATGTGACTATGGGGATGCTGCAACGGTCATACATGTGAAAAATGATCATAAGTCACCTTTTTGCAGTGCTGTTGTAACTTCAAACAGTCACTAAACAAACTGTTGTGGACTACCTGGAATAATCATTATACCAATAAAAGGGGGGGGAGTAAAGAAGATAATAAGGATAAATAATAATAGTACAGCCACACATTACTTACACATGGGTAAGAATTGACATTAGACTCTGAGAATTACCGCATTTTTCGGAGTATAAGACGTACCTCACCTTTTTTGTTGAGGAAAAGAAGAAAAAGAAATCTCCCTCTGCCTCTGAGCAATTTTGCCTCCTTGCAGCAAACAGCCTGCTTTACTTTCATTTTTGTTTTCAGCATAGCTTGATTAGCACAAGGGAAAAAAAATCTGCTCCAGCAATTTACCTCTTTGAAGCAAGCAGCAGAGCCCTGCGCAAAACAGCTGAGAGCAAATCAGAGTTGGGAGGCCAATCCAATCAATTTATGCTAATTAGCCTGTGCTGAAGCTGAAAGGAGCTGTTTTTTCTTGCTGTTTGCTTGCAAGGAGGTAACTGCTGCGAGGCAGAGGCCAAAGGGTGGGGGCCAGTGGGTGGACGGGGCTACATTCGGTGTATAAGATGCACCTAAATTTTCACCCCCTTTTAGGGAGGAAAAAGGTGCGTGTTATACTCCGAAAAATACAGTAAGCGTTCAGCAGAGTGATGGCACAAGGGAAAAAATTGTCCCTATGTCTTAGTTGTTTTGATATACAATGCCCATCCTGAGGGAAGGAGTTGAAACAATTTATGTCCAGCTCTTTTCCCTCTCCTTTTTTATTATATTCTTTATTCACATTTTTTACTGAACAGCATAAACTTTGTTGTCCAATAAAAACTCCACGTCTTCTATCCAGAGCTGGGAAAGAGGATGTTACTGCAAGCATTTTATCTTTATTTCAATGCAAGCCAAATCATTTGTAGTCAGAATTTGCAATCCCATTTTCAAATTTCCCTTTAGGAATACAATTTTTGATAGCACTAATGCAACAGTTATCCTACAACATCATCAACATTTCCCTAAATGTCGTGAGATGATCCACCTCTATTAGAAAAGTGTATAAAACCCTAGCACTGTTGAGATGATCACAAGGCTAGATCTTCCATGGTGGTGCAGTGGTTAGAATGCAGTACTACAGGCTACTTCTGCTGACTGCCGGCTGCCTGCAGTTTGGTAGCTCGATTCTCACTAGCTCAAGGTTGACTCAGTCTTCCATCTTTCCAAAGTCGGTAAAATGAGGACCCAGATTGTTGGTGGCAATATGACCCTGTAAACTGCTTAGAGACGGCTGTAAAGCACTGTGAGGTGGTATATAAGTGCTGTTGCTATTGCTATTTAGATACAAGATTTTCCAGGAGCAATAAGACTGATTTTGGATTGTGAACATCATCATCATCAACCTAAGGTGTAGGCTCTTTGTAACTCTAGGATGTTTTCAGGGTTGTCAGTATGAATGTTAAATCACTGCAAACAAATTTTGCTATGTGTATAAGAGAGAAAGAGAGTAGGCTGACAAGAGAAAAACTAGCCTTCACACTTAACCTCTACTATTTCTTGGCATCTCAAAATTACCATTCTCTATCTTAACCTCAGGCAAGAAAGTCCAATCCAGCTGAACTTCAAAAATATAAACAGTGGTTAATAAGGCCCTTAGTGTTCTGTCCCCGTCCCACACACACATACCAACAGACGTCCAAGAGTTAAAAACCAAACCAGCTGACAAAATCCTTATGATAACGGAACTTGGCAGCAACCTAGTGGCTGCCTGCCAAGAGTTTATTACTCACGAAGGGAAGAGATAACTTCTCTCCGCTTCTGGTACATCAAAGTAAAATGTTCAATAATTACAGAGTAACTTAAGTCCAAATATAATCCAGCAAAGCCTATAGCAAAAGTCCGGCAATGCAGAATGGCGTGGAAGCTTTCAGCTTTGTTCGTCACAAGGCTTGACTGGCCACCACACTCCCTTTTATACCCTGTGGGGTGTGGTCCAGTGACTCAGCCTAATCTCTGGCACGCCTCCTCTTTTGTTGCGTGCGCTTATCTCTCCGACGCTGGCATGGATCCAGCCAAGACTCATTCCCGTCACTGTCCGACTGCGCCTGCGCGGGGATATCTGGCTCCTGGCCAATCTCTTCTCCGTTGGGAGACACCTGAGGCATTGCCAGAGAGGAGGGTCCTGGAGAGGGAGGCCCGGCCAACTCCTCTCCTTCCCTTTTGGAGCCTTCTTCCTCCGATAAGACGGGCTCGGGGATCGGAGCCACAACACTTAGTAAGGCTCTTAAAGAAACTATATATTCTAAACCATTATTTTACTATAAATATAATCCTAGATTTGCTACTATACTCATCAAGTATGGCACTCAAATGCTTACTGACTACAGTAAATCAAATTTTGAAAATATTATATGAAGGAAGAGCTAATCCCAATCAAAACAGTAATTTACAATGCAGTCCTCTTCCAAAGCAGCAGTAAATAACAGAGTAACAGAGTTGGAAGGGACCTTGGAGATCTTCCAGTCCAAACCCCTGCACATCATTCCAGACAAGTAGCTGTCCAGTCTCTTCTTAAAAGCCTCCAGTGACGGAGCACCCACAACTTCTGAAGGCAAGCCATTCCATTGGTTAATGGACTGACTGTTAAGAAATTTCTCCTTAGTTCTAGGTTGCTTCTCTCCTTGATTATTTCTTGTCTTTTTTTTTTCTGATGCTTTGAAAAATAGGTTGAACCTCTCTTCCTTGTGGCAGCCCCTCAAATATTGCAACACTGCTATCAACTCACCGCTAGTCCTTCTTTTCACTAGAGTAGACAAAGCCAATTCCTGCAACTGTTTTTCATATGTTTTAGCCTCCAGCCCCCTAATCAGCTTTGTTACTCTTTTCTACACTCTTTCCAGAATCTCTACATCTTTTTTATAATATGATACCAAAACTGGATGCAGTATTCTAAGTGTGGTCTGACTAAAGGTTTTATAAAATGGTACTACTAAATAGAGTAGAGTAGAGTAGAGTAGAGTAGAATAGAGTAGAGTAGAGTAGAGTAGAGTAGAGTAGAGTAGAATAGAATAGAATAGAATAGAATAGAATAGAATAGAATAGAATAGAATAGAATTCTTTATTGGCCGAGTGTGATTGGACACACAAGGAACTTGTCTTGGTGCATACGCTCTTGGTGTACATAAAAGAAAAGATACATGATCTTGATTCTATCCCTCTGTTAATGCAACCTAGGATTGTGTTGGCTTTTTTGACTGCTGCCGCACACTGCTGGCTTATATTTAAGTGATTGTTAAGTGAGCCAGGTTTCGCCTAATCTATACCTACAAATCTTACTTTTCTCTACTTTGAATTTCATGTAGAGAATCATTTAAAATAGTCATAAAATTCATTTGATTAGATGGACACCAATTTAGATACTTTTGAAAGGGGCAATTACAAATTCAGTGAGAACTGGTCTCTTGCTAGTCTTATATGTAGGTGTTATCACCTGAAAACTAGATAGCACAGCTTAAATACCAGCTGCTGGGGAACAACAGCAGGAAGGGCTTCTTATCCACTAGTTAGCTGCTGTATGGTATACAGTGTTTAATGAAACAAGCTTTTGTGCTGTATTTTTTAAATGTTCTTTTGCTGTGTTATCTATTATTTCTTTTCTCTTGACAGGCTGCAATTGGCTCAGTTGCCTTAGATACAGCACGGGAGCATAAAGATGAACAATCAGAGAAATATGGCATGGATATTTTGACAGTTGCTTTCCTGGCAATCTTAATCACAGCTCCTATTGGAGCGCTAATAATTGGGCTGGCAGGGCCCCAACTTCTCCACAAGACTTCTGATACCAACAGAGAAAGTCATATATATGAAGAAAGAGAAGAAATAGAAATACATGGGCCTGAGCCAGCATAGGGAGATATGAAGTGCAGTCCACAGATCACCTGAATTGAGACTGCTTATGAATCATGGTATCCACAAGTAACATACAGAAGTTTAAAGGCCTATGAGATACACTGCAGATCTTCCAAATATATGTACATATTTTTAAAATGACATCAGTTGGAGCTGTTTAGAGCCAATCTTAGCTCTTAGTGGCTTGTAGCTTTTCTTTTAGTGGTTAACGGTTTATTAGGTGAAAAGAAGATTAGTGGCTGCTGAATTAGAGTATATTTAAAGTACTGAAGAATAAATGAAGCTGTTGAAGTTAAACATACCTGGATTAACAGAAATCTTTTAGATGCACTGCCTGGTTGAGAACTAGGGGTTACTGATAAAGACTTCCACCCCTTCCTCTTGTGGTAGGAAAATAGTTAGGATTGAGATATAACCTGACATTTTCTCTGAAAGACTCTGGTAGTCTGACGTCTTTTTTGAGGGATAGATTGGAAAGAGTGAATAGGTACAGTTAAAGTAGATTTTATACATATAGTATAGAGAATTGGAGTATTAGATATGTAAATAGTGGATGACAGGCTAGAAGTGCCCTTAAGAGATAGCTTATGTTTGTGGTATGTATGTTGAATGAGAGAATGGCAAGATAAATAGAGGAAAAGAATGTTGTGATGGGGACCCACTGTGGATTATGACAGGCAGAGTTAGGTATGGCAGGAAGCACCAGCTTGACTACTACAGGAAAAGGGAGACCTATATATTTGTATGGGTCTAAACCAGATATTCCAGATCAGAGCCCAGGTGGCTGAACTGCTGGGCATATTGGCCTCCAGTTACTACTTGAAAATGGTGAGTTGGTTCAAAATAAAACCACATTCATTTTATAGCATCTGGTAGATGAATGTGGTGACTTGATGTAAGTTATTGAAACATGAATGGGAAAAAAATGGGGATGTAGCCCTGTTGTAAATTTGCCCTGCCAGTTTTCAGATTATGCAGCAGCTATAGCAATTTGGCCAAGGATGTACAAGTGCTGTGATGTACAAGACAACTTTGCAATGATGAGGAGCACTGTTATGACTGGATAAGAATGTCTCAAAGGATATTGAGTTATAGAGAGCCCTCCATGAATATCTGGATATCATCTTAGAGATAATGTTGGGCCATCCCAGGATTGATTGAGTATTTGAGGAGACTTTGATCTTCATTCCCTGGAAAAAGGGTTCAGTGTGCTCCATGAGTTTATGATAACCTTGGACCTGTCCCAAATAATTGGTGCCAATAGACAACAGCAAACACCCATTATACCTGGTCTATACTTGGAGCAAATAAGACAGAACTGGAAATGGAGGACATTGATACCTATCATCTGCTCTGATCAGTTTACTTCCTCTTCAGATTCATAGACAACCAAGGATTTCATATGAATACTGAATTCTTTCAACTGGTATTCTCCAGAACCTGGATGAATTCCAGTGGACTTCAGAGGACAACCTGGTGGATTATTCTGTTTCGTGTCTGGCTGATTTATGGATCCAACTGTTTCTGACAACTGGGGAGAGGGTACTAATATTTTATATGTTCCTTTTTATGTCCTGCACTGTTTTATATTGCCCAGAATATACATACATAATGAAATGGGCTACAAAAAATTTAAAATAATTAGTATAAAATAAAATATGATTTTATTGAATCAACCTCCAAATGTGCCTTAATCCATTCCCCCACTACACAGTCTCAAATGTCAGTACCTATCCTTCCATTCCCCCTGCCATTACAACTGATGAAGTATATTGGATGAAAAAGGAAATGTTTTGTTGTTCTTCCTGAAAGAAAAAAAACAAAACAGTCCAGTTGCTTTTTGAAAAAGCATCTTTGAGACAACAATGACTGAGAATCTCCAAAGACATTTATCTTTTCATATATTTCTATTATATAGCTCATCTTTTGACAAGGTTAAGCTTCTTCACAGGGTGCATTCTCTACTCCCCTTCTCTGAACTGGTTTTGACTTCTCAAAATTAGTATGCTGCACAGGATTGGACAGAATACTATAATACTAAAGATGAGAACCGACCAAGGCGCAGTGAAATAAAACAATACTTTCTATGATTTGAGAAATATACTAATACTGATGCAGCTCTTTGAGTCCAAGATCTTTTTCACAAATATTTATTAAGCATCAATCTACATATTGTGTTTCCAAAATAAATACCTCTGTACTTGTCTCTCGTATGGTGTAACTTCCTCCCCATTTCACCAGCCTGTCAAGATAATTTTGGATTTTGTTTTCTGGAGAAGTTTCTCAACTTCAGAGAACTTTTAAGATGTGTGGGCTTCAGATGTGTGGCAAGCTGCAAGTTTATGCATTTAAAAGTCCCTGAGATTGAGAAACACTGTCAGTATGCACCACTTCACCACTCCATTTTATATCATCTGGAAATCTAAACACACATCCCTCTCATTCTCCAAATAATTCATGAAGAGGACCCAGGACTGCCTGGGCCCATTTGATACTTTTCTCCACTCAATCTACAAATCACTAATGGGAATAGAGGATAGGATAGGATAGGATAGGATAGGATAGGATAGGATAGGATAGGACAGGACAGGACAGGACAGGACAGAATTCTTTATTGATAACGTTGAACACTACCTGTAGTATGGTGTTCTTATAAAAATCGCTCAATTTCCAACTCAAATACTTGAACCTGTGGAAATGTGTCACTTCTTTGATAAATAGAGTAGAGTAGAGTAGAGTAGAATAGAATAGAGTAGAGTAGAGTAGAGTAGAATAGAATAGAATAGAATAGAATAGAATAGAATAGAATAGAATAGGAATTCTTTATTGGCTAAGTGTAATTGGACACACAAAGAATTTGTCTTTGGTGCTTATGCTCTCAGTGTACATAAAAAGACAAGATACATTCGTCAAGAATCATAAGGAACAACACTTAATGATAGTCATGGGGTACAAATAAGCAATCAAATCATATTAAGAAACAGTGAATATACATCATAAGGATACCAGCAACAAAGTCACAGCCATACATTCATAAGTGGGATGAGCCTCCTCTGAGTACAATGTTTGAAGTGGCTGCAATATCCATTTACTGTACTTACATTTCCCTCTTTTGCAAAGGTAGAAAAAAAAGCGAAAGAAGACGATGGCTGCAACTATTTCAGCCCTCTGGGTCCCCGGAGGGTAAGGGCTGAGCTCAGGATCTCCTCCAACGATTTCCTTGCATGGAAATACGGAGGAAAGCAAACGGGGGCAATTTCTTGCTGCAGGGCAATTACAGAGCCTCCCTCCCCCTCCTCACTGCTGAGCGCCGCCGCAGCGCCGTTGAATCAGATGCCCTTCGGCGGCAGGCAGGCACGACCGTTATTTCAGGACCGTTATTTTCTCTCAGAGCTGCCCTGCGAGGCAGCTTTTCCGCTTTGGAGAGCGGCGGACCGGGAGGTGGAGCTTGTAGTCCTCGGCCGTCCCTGCGCCTCCCACCTTTCCCCGGCTGAGGACCAGCCTTAGCGAGAGGCTTCCTCAGTTTAAATGCGCTTTTCTGTCCCATAGTGGTTCGGGGAAGTTTAACGGGTCAGTGGCGCTATCCTCGCCTTTTGTAACCGACACTCCGGGAGGCAGACTCGGGTCTGTTCAGAAGAAACACGCCCTGAGTTTATTGAGATTTTTCTCAAGAAAATATATTTAGGAATGTTAGTTGTGGCAGAGGTGTTGCTATGTAACCTTTTTATTTTTTTAAAAAAAGCAAAGAATGTGAACTAAAGCAGACAATTACCCACATTGTTCAGAATTTTTTGCCTAGTCTGCCCTAATATCGCATCAAAATAGAAGTTCCCCGTTTTTTAAAAGACTGGTTTAGTTTTGGTGGTTCATACTAAAATTTTGTGCAAAAAGCTAAGCAAAACCAAGTTCTTTTGCTTTTTGGAGTATTGTGCAACTCATTCATAGCATTACATGAACTCTGGCACATACTCTTGGCTAATGATTTAGAAGATATCACTGATGGTGATATTTTTGAAATTCATGTTTTTTTCTAAACTTAATCCAATTTTATTTGGGAAGTAAAAACTAAGCAAGATGGTTTAAAATTTAAAAATAAAAAAGTTCCTATTTTTTTAAAAAGGGGATGGCTTGGATACCCAAAAGTCAATAAAATAAAAAAAAAATGTTTTAAAATAAAATACAATTTATTTTACAAAATTAGATTGTGAACTATGTCAGAGAGAATACCTGGGGCAGACAAGAAAAATATATCTTCAAAATCAAGAAATGAAGTTTATCCAATCCAGGTAATAATAATGGCAGTTTTATAGTTGTTTGCCAAAGTTATAGATAGTTTAAGAATTAATAAAAAATAAGACATGTCTTTCTTCTACATAGAGTTGAATGGTCAAACTTTTTTTTTAATTCAAAAAAGTTTTTTTATTTTATAAACAAACAAACAAATAATACATAATCAGTCAATATATCTTCTAAATACATCTTTTGTGTCTACTTTCTGCTCTTCCAATATTTATCATATCTTAATATTATCTTTTCCTTTATTATAACATTTCCCCCACTTTTCTTACTTCTCTATTAATACATTTATTAATAATACATTTATTTATTAAACTATCTTTTAATTTTATTAAGAATTAGACAACCATTTTATCCCCACACAACCTTCAACCCCCCCCTTCCCTACCCCCACCCCCGACTTCCCAGAGCAAAAACAGGGTATAGCATTAAACAAACATAAGCTAAAATATACTAACTTACTACAAGATTCAAAACCCCCTCACACTCTTTAACTCCTCTTTTAAAAATTGTTCATCAGCCTCCCCTTTTAGAATTCTAATTTAAACATTATAAAACTTTCTTTAAAGCATATCTTTTAAGAAGAAAAAAATATTATTTTATATCCATTCAATTTTAAATTAACCATTTTAATACTTCAGCTCCCCTAGACCCCCAGGCTTTTTTTTTTTAAGCTTGGGGCTTGCAGGGTGAGAGCTCCCTGAAAGCCCTTCAGTGCTCCAGATCCGGGATGATTTTGCTTTATGCAGAACAAGGGGTCGCGACCACACCAGCAGTGCAATTTTAAGGATTATGAGAAAATTTGAATCTGGATGCTGGCAGAACAAAATCAGGAGAACAGGAAATGCAAGTATTAAACTTTAACTTCATTTAAAACAAAGAAAAAAAGATGGCGCTTAAGGGCGGTAAAACGAAACTTATAAGTGAAAGTGATAGTTAAAGCTGCAACATTGTAAAAGCTACTGGATTACCCGGCAAGAAAAAGGATTTAAAGTGCTAGTGAAATGAAAAAGACTATGGTATTGACTCCAACTACTTTATACTTCTAAACTGTGTGAAAATTATTGGATTTATTGACCTGATAGCTGAATAAAT